CAAACGTGAATTCCCGTGTACGCGGCACTTCCGTGATCCGACTTTTGTTTGTGACCGCCGGCCCGTGGCTCGCGACGAAAACCGAACGCTTCCATTGCGTAAATATGCGCGGGAAAACAAGGCTCGTTTACAAAGGCGAGACGGGAGGAGGGAACCACCGATGTTCGAGGACGAAAGAACGATTCGCTTGATGCCAAAGGAACCAGCTCCGGTTCCTGGATAATAAACGCGAATTCGAGCCCTCGACAACCTCCAACCCCTTTGCGATACGATTACCTACTCCTTCCAGAGAGAAAATTGAATTACTTCTTGGAATAGTTTGAGTATTTTGGCGATTTTTAATATTATATGGAAGGGAAAGACGGAGAATATTTTGTAAGTGAGGAAAATTTAAAATTCAGATGAAGGAAATGTCATGAGTAGAAATTAAAGATAAAAGCATGATGGCCTCTGTCAGATCAATTCACGAGTCTATATTTAATCTATCTTTATCACATCAACCAAAACGTCGCATAATCGAATTACAGACATTCGAGAAATGTTCCGATGACAAGGCGTGTAGCACTGAAATTCCAAACGAATATTCGTAATTAAATCTTCCAATCGTACGTGGTAATAGTATCGTTGCACGATTAATGGCTGTGTTATGCGGGTCAGTTTCAATTTTAGTTTATGTTTAATTTCAGCGAAGTAATTCATCCTCGGAGCGGTTAATTTCGAAATGAAGAAATAGTTCTCTAAATATACGGGAACGTTACCGGAACGCGCGAACCGAGTTTGTTAATTATTACGTAGCGGATCGGCCGAAAACGAAATCCGATATGAGGAAGCGTTGAATTGTAACAGGAAATATCGTGGGATCTCTACAAAACTAGAACATTATATTTGCCTAATGTAACTGGATGATAACTGGTCGCTAAAGATTTCTTCCACCATTGTAAATAGAAAACCACTTCGTGAATAGAAGATAAAGAAATGTGTTTGCAGGTTTTTAGGATCCTAGTGGAATGGTGGGTGGTTCTACGGTGACTTTGAACATTGAACGGTCAATTGAATGTTGCTGGAACTTCGTTCCACAGGAGACACCCTGCTCCCGAAATATTTAATGCTCAGACGATATAAATATTCACTTATCACACGTCGAAGTATGAATGAAACATTGTATACAATCATCCATGCAACAACCAAGTGCATTTCAGAGACTAGCAAAATTTGATTCCGATAACAGATGACGAATGAATGCACGATACAGTCATCTTTGTTCAAGATAAAATATCATTTCGTTTTATAATTGAAAGTATAATATTTATGAAGTTGTTTTACTCGTTATCGAGTCAAATTTTACCCGTCTCTGGTGAGTTTCTAAACGTAATCGTTCGTTCGTCGATCCCGTCTTCGCCTTTGAAAATTAAAACGCATCGTGGGAACATTAAGTAACGCATTTTCTCAGCGGATGAGTGAAATGTGCCGCATATACTCGCGGTTTTGTTATTACAAACTGTACAAAGTGTTTCTCACGCTTCGTAAGATTATCGCTACAGTGGAAACGATTAGTTCAATGAATTCTCATCGTCGATGAATCCTCGACGATTTTCAACGTGTATATGTGTGTATACATATACAGGGTGTCTGACTCGAAACAAGTCAGATGACTATCCACAAGATCTTTCTAAGTTGATACTAAGTTCTGGAATATAAGTACGATATGCAAGAGAGAATTAAAAAATACTTACATCTGTGGCTTTAAAACTTCTGAAACAGATCACGTTGAAAGTAAAATTATTCTTCTGTAGGAATCCACTCGTCAAAACTACGAAACTTATATACAAAACATTTGTTCACATCCTCACAAGAAAATAATTAGGTTTTCAGTAACGAGTGAGACATCCTGCGTATGTTTACTTCTCTCTCTTCCACTCTCACTCTCAAACACTCGGCTCACACGATAGGAATTCTTCCTACAAAAAGAAACGTTTCGCCATGAACAATCAGGAACGAGCAGAGCAAGATATGTTCAATTTCACGATATATACAATACAATCAAATTCCTCCGCGTACAATTGTTTGTGTTTTATTTCTGTATCGAGATCCACGCATTCGTCACGTCTAATTTTTTCTTCGCCCAAACAAATGATATGTCGATGGCACGATATTATGTACTTAATTAACAACACTGGCTCCACCCAATTTAATCATTTTACATCTCGATATTTAATTAGACGAAAAAATCTCGTTACGTTACAATCCCATTGATCGAACGTGAAACGTATAGGAAGTGCTATAAATTCCAATAAATTTGTACAAAAAAATGGTTAATGAAAAGGAATACGTTCCACTGGAATTCCAAAGATAATGGTCTCGTTAGTACTCGAATATTACACGTGTCCAAAATTCGATGCAACTCGGCGTTCGTTTTGTTCTCCCTTGTATAGGACATGATATGCCACGTTAAAAAACGAGCATTCACTGGTTTGTTTCAAATAAATTATATTAATTTGTTGCTTCGTTATGCAGAAGAAAAACATATCACGTATACTTCCATCGTGAATATAATGGCTTTAACGAGAGCATTGATACCTAAACGAAACGTCATTAAACTTTAATGTGGAAACCACTCTCTTTCGTTTTTCATTTCAATTTGTAGGAAGGACTGCATGCACGCCTTCTCGTTCATTCGATCGTGCAGAAAACGTCCACAAAGTCGGCCAAAATTGCCATCAATATATTTCATTAAGCTCATCAAAGTGGATATGTACATCGATCCCCTGCGACACAACTAGACTAGTCCTGCACGACCGAGCATAATACCCGTTCTCGTTTTATCGTTTTCCTTCATTGTTTCGACGAAGGAAGGTCACAAATGAAATTCCGCGACTTAGGTGTCGCTGGATATATTATACGTTCCCTAATAGAGTGGCAGTATTCCTCACTGTTATCGGTCTTAGTTTTATATCATATTAAATTACCAACGTCGTGTCATAGACAATATCGTAGAATTTTCATAATCAAAATGATACCTCTCGATTAGTTTCACGGCGAACCTAATCCTGCGAAAGGACTCTGATATTTTTCATTCATTTTTTATTTGTTCGGTAGGTCTTTATTCTATGAAATCTCTTATGTCGTATGTGTAAACTAAACATTCATGAGCGAAAAGAAAAGTTCTATTATTGACAAGGACCGGAAACATCAATGGTCTGGATTAGGTTTTCGATGAAATGCTTGGAGAGGATTTATGTATTGATAATCTTGCATCGAGCAAATATCTGATTATTTCAGTTACGTTTTTTTATATGACGTAAATTAGCTAGAAATGTTCAAGAGGGCGTTGGTCCTTTCGCACAACTATTTTCAACCGCGTGCACATTTATCACTTATGTTTTCTACGGTGATTCATATTTTACAGATCATGAGTGTGACTGTTCAGTAACGTTATAAATTCCAGAACAACGCATCGATACGCCTTGCGATCTAACGTCCTCTAACAATTATTAAGTTTTTCCTTGTTCCGCGCTGACCACGGTCCTGTACCCGATAAACATATTACATTGGAGGAAAAAGAAAATCGATTTGGAATTTCTTTGGTTTTCGTTTCTAACTTTGCATTATTCATGAACAGTACGAATACAAACCAACTTCCTTCTCTGAGAACCAAAGATACTAAAAAGATCATTTTGCCAAATTGCCGAAGAAACGGAGCAAAGCGAGATGATAAATTTCTTATACTTTCTGGTATTTTATATTTAAAAACAGTTTTCCAGCAATGTATGAACGCACACACCTCGATTCGATAAAAGATTTAAAAATATCTCAGAGGCGAAGTGAAGCGAGCACAACGCGCAATACTTTCCGGGACATCCTAATGGAAACAAAAATCGACGTTTTATTGGCCGCGAAGCTACGTATCGTCGAAGCTCTCGTCGATCTTCGACAGATCGGCAAAAATACGTCCAAGAAACGAGCGGGAATATCCATCGGGTAAATGGACCGTGTCTATTCCTTCCTATAAACTTAACTTCAGGTCACACGAGAGCTTCTCCTTCCTACGTCCCCATCCAACCCATCCCCTATCTCCGCTCCCAGGAATCACGATGCATTCGACTCCGTGGTTTTGCTGGATTCGGTTCTCGGGACGGCGACCAAGTTTTGCGAATCGATATACCGGGTTAACGAGCGCAAAACGGTCGCCACACCGCCGAGGGGAATGCGAAGCCTTAAAATCGACGTTCTCTAATAATTTTATACTATCGGTTAATCCGTTAACATTCTTTACACGCTATATATATTTATATATTTATATATATACGAATTTTATACTGCAACCTCTAGTGGTATTGTCAAACATTCATGCACTTCGGCTAAGCGCATCTTAAGCTTATTTAGTAGTTTCAGAGATGGACAGGATCTCTCTCGAAATAAAAAATTCAAGTGATATTTATCCATTAGTCGTCGAAAAAAAAAGTAACTGAAGTCGTCTTTATTTGGTGAACGACGGATAGATTGATTCGTCTTCAACTTAGAGTAAGATTTCCAACTTTGTATGTTTGTAAATGAACCTTGTGAAATAGAACAAAAATGTCCGTATTCGTAAGTTATTCGTCAAGTTAAACGTAAAGTACCTTCACGCGAGTTTGTATTTAAATAATTTCGTTTTCATCTGGATGACGCCCATCTCTGGATTCAGGGAACTTAACGCAAGCCCGTGGCCCGAGGAATTCCTCCCCATCGTCCACTTTTTCCCCTCTTTTTCGATAAACCAGCCCAGTCACGGGACACTGGTCCGTTCCGCTGGCGCACCCTCCGTCGAACATAATCGGCAATCTCAAGTTCCAATGCGCCCTGAACTACCCACGATACAAAATCTGCGTGCGTCCGCCAGTTTTTCCTTCGTCAGCGGCGGTTAATTAAAGTCTCGCGTAAAAAAAAAAGAAGGTAGGAGATAAAAAATAGAGCGCGCGCCGGCACTCGGCCCGTGTTTCGTTCTCGACACTTTAACGAACTACAAATACCCTCGGGTGTCTTACCGTCGCACTGAATTATCTTTCAACTCGATTCGTTAGAAACGTACATTAACATCACTAGTTTCAAGAAGGATCAACCAACAGATAGCTTATCACCGATTTATCGAACAAATTGTTAGTCTTGTTATTACCATTTAGAAATTGCTTCCTTTCAGTTCTCGAACACCCGCGTTTCTCGAGGTAAAGAAGCGAAGTGTAGACTTTGCGTGGACAGAGATGCGCAGAATTTTATTCGAACGATAAACGAGCGAATAAAGGCTCTAAGTAGCGAATTACTCGCAACATTTATTCGACTGTATCCAGACAAGCTGTTGTTTGTTCAATGTGACACGTAATTTGATTCCATCTATAATTTCAGTTTGTGATTTGTATCGAACAAACGACAGGTCGAATATTATGTTTATTCGTTTAATACGTGAGAATTTGACCCATCTCTGGGCGAAGAAAAGGATGCGTCTTCGACAATTTTCAAAGTCCTGACCGCGTGTATTCTGAACGTGACGCGAGTGCCGTTGTGGTGGGTATCATAAGCTTGTTTGCCGACAGTATCAATTTCAGGATAGCGTATGTGCGATTTATCGAACGTGCTCTCTATCTATTGGCCCACGATAGGAACGTTCCATTTCGTGCCGGACGTCGTGACACGAAATCATCGTGCAGATCAGCGTTTACCAAACTTTTTTGCCACGGGGACACTTTACATCTCGCAATCTATTTACAGTACGTTTGCACTCATTTCTCGATGTGAGAATCACGAAACTAATAAATTTCATCTTCGAAAGTAACATCAAAATAAAAATACATACATGAAAACGATCAAATCCGTTGAAAATTCAAGCTATGTTTGCATAACGATGATTTTTAATTAATAATAATGAATGTCACTACTTTGTACATTTTTCTTGTAGTAACCATACATCGATACACTGTTACCTCTTCGTTACGATTAATATGTTAGTACATTAATAATTGAAAAGAAAATAATATTAAATACTACAACAATATGAAAGTGCTATACGCTGCAAGTATGCAAAATTTATTTTACCTTATTTTCTTAAACGTTATCTACGCTTTTTCATGGAACACCAGCGTTCCATGTACAAATTCGGGAAACACTGATCTAGACGATTCCCTCCGCGTACCCAGTGATCGAAAAGTACGCAACGAACGTTCGAAGGAACACGATTTACAAATGTTTGAGACACGATTCTCCTGGATCGACCGATCGAATCACGATACAGTCGTGAAAGTGAGACATCGATATGGAATTAGTATGCTGACTGCTGAAAATTTCACCACGAGTGGCACCACGGAATAGAAGATCTATCATGGTATATACGCCAACGTATACTATGATAGCGCTCAACGTCAAGGATCGGTTCTCGGATACGTTTCCAAAACGGAGAACGACTCGATCAGTCTCCGCGTTGATGGATGAACGTGACCAATTTACCGACGATTTACCTTTCAATCCAAGACGATTCATCGATCGTCATCTCGAACGGTGGGCCACCCTAGGTACTAACTTGGTCTGACTTGGTGTAACTTGGTCGTCGAAGGGCTGTGCCACCAATTTCCATTCAGCTCGCCGATCATAGAAAGCCGGATGAGGTTCCAGCCTTCTAGTTCTCTGTATCAGGTGTCGTTCGTGTCGCTATGCTTATAAGCGAGATTCTTTCGTTGAAGGAACAGGTGGATCTCGCGGAAATTCGGTCGATCCACGTCGTTACGTTGCCAACACTCGCGCATCAGGTCGTAGACGTCCTTGGGACAGTTCTTGGGCAACGGGAGGATGATCTGCGACAAGCAGGTGGAACCAGAACAGATTATACACAATGTATCTATTTGGTTCATACATTCAAAGGTATTCGATACGAATATATTTCAAATAGTTTCATTTTTGGACCCATTTTGATACTTGTACAGTTGAAAACGTAATAAATTGCAAGGACCGAATAAAGTATTTTAGATGACAAGACTGTTTTCAACTGTAGTCTGTTATGAGCATGAAAGAAAATTCCACTGATATGGGAATGTGTGTATTACAAGTGACAGAGTTTTCGACTTTAAGATATGTACACTTTCAGTTACTCTTAAACACAAAAGGGTTAAGGAAGAGACTAAAGATGAAGTTATTTTTAAATCAAACGATAAATATGCCTTGGGAAAGATTTAGATGTCCGAAACTCAACCATTTGGAATTAATTTTTATTTTAAAACCTCCCATTTGCCGTTTCTGAAAATTAGAGGAAATTCAAAAGACCCGAGTCTAATGCGAGATTGTTCGAGCGAGTTGTAAGAGCCAGCCAAGTGTAATCGAGAGTCTGAAAGAGGATGCGAATGGCGTCATTCACCGCGGTGAAAGGTTTAGAGGGCATTTAACGCGAGGTACTTATCGCGCACATTAGATTGAGTATATGCGAGCACAATGAACGAAAGATAGGGAAGAATACTTACCCTCCTCTCGTCCTCTTGGTAAAAATAAGTCGCGTTCTCGACGATGCGATGGTCGGGGAGCTCCTCGAACGGTTGCTCCCGCGCGAATGTTAGAATTTCCCAGAGCGTCACCGCGAAAGCCCAAACGTCGCTTTTCGACGTGTGTCTTCCCTGATGGCATTAAAACCAATAATTTGTCAAACGTTTACGTACCTGCGTCATCCGTTGGCAATTTAGCAACGATCGACATACGCTTGCGAAACAGTAGTTCATTGGATGTTATGTAAGGCTAAGGGTAAGTTATGTCTCGACTGTTTTTTTCAATTATAAGTAATAAAAACAGTATTTTAAATTGAAGTGTAAAAGATTGTCTTTGTGTAGGAGAGGGGCTTTTAACGACGAGTGAAAAACTAGAATAGCGCAAAAGTACTCGAGAAAGAACAATTGTCTCCAATAAAATACAATATTGCTATTGTTAATATCACGTACTTCTTGCCTATCGTTGGGAACAAACGTGGCTATTTATGGCGATAATAATAAAGTTACAAAGGGTAATTGTAACATAAAGGGTAGAACGGCAAAAAGTTAAAAAGAACGAACTCGCGACAACGTTCTTTTCACCTTTTTGTCGTTCCATCTTCTATGTTACAATTACCCTTTGTAACTTGATGATTATCGCTATAAATACATCTCTGCATTCTATAAAATAGTAAAATTTAATTCGCAAAGCGTGAAGTCGAAACGTTCGAAACCTCACAAAAGGCAAACAGAGTGGCCAACACGAACACCATTTTCATATTGACCTATTTTCGAGGAGGCCAATATTTACGGGATCCAGTACCGCTGCGAAATGACAACACAGAGAGAAAAATATTCAGAATTTCCCGGGACAAACGATATTCCCGCGATCGCGCGTTGTTCCACGGAAACAAAAGGATTCCGTTTCTTTGGAGACGCTTTGCCACAGCTACTGGGTAAGAGTCGGCTAACAAGACAAGCGTAAAACGTGGAATAACGATCAATGGGTTAGCTGTCGCTAGAGAAAAACCTTTCGTGGGGGAAACCGGCGCGAAGATCTGGGCGCAACGTGGAAACTTAAGTCCCGACTGTAGCTAGGAGTAATTTATGGAAACTGTGCGCGCCGTCGAGTTCGACGAAGTTCAGACGAGAAAGCACCACCGTGAAACGGTTACACGTCTTTACCCTTTCCTTCGCATCGGCAGTGACGCGTCTTGCGGTTCCCTCGGCTGGCACGCGCGTATTTCTCCTAAGCACGAAAAACCAACCGACGGGGAAACGGCGCGGAAAACGCTGCGGTATTTCGCGAGCAGTCGCCGTTCCTCGCGTTCCCTTCCAGCCACGATTAACAATTTTTTGAGACTACTCACTTGGAAACGAGACTTTTTAAAACTAATCGCGTAGAGAGGAGAAGTATACGATGCAGATATAAATTAGAGCCTTCATGTATACGCGTACGCGTGTCTCACCTGTAACACGTAAAGTCGTGTAGAAATGCGTGTAGTAAATACTTGTGTCAATATTACACGGACCTACCATACCTACTCCACGCAAAACAGAATTATTTTTATGTCGAAAATTTCTATAGTTTTATACTTCTATATAGCGCACCCAAGGCATTTCTGTTAAAAATCGACTCTTTTCTTTGTCGCAGCAATTCCGCAATTTCTTTGGAATTGGCAGTGTCTTACGGTTTCCTCGATTGGGACGCATTTCTCCGTTCCGAGAAAAACCGGTGGGAAACGGCTTGGAAAATGTTGGCGAATTTCGAGCGGTACCTAAGCGTCGTACCTCGAATTCATCGAGAAACGAAGCGTTCTATCCGTGGTTAATTGATTCCCGTTTTCCCGCGTACAATCAATCAACGAGTCCGAGTTAAAATACGATAAAAGTCGTAAATAAAACGTTCCATTTCCGTGGCAGCGAAATTGTTCCGGTAATGGAGTCAATTTTTCATTATCGTCGATCCACGGGCGAAAAAATGGACGGATAAAGAGGTCAAAACGAGAGGGCGAGGGGAGCAGGAGACGATTTTCTCGTCACTTTCGTCGCTCAGGTACCATTCGAAGTTGAAACCGATTTACGGGGACGACGAGGCGCGGCAGGTAGTATCGTTGCTTGACGAGAAATTACTCCAAGTTAAGTGCTTTAGTTACGTAATTTCAAGCAACTACTCCATCCTGGGCGAAGACTGTATGCGCAGGCAGCGAGTTTACGGATCACGCGTGTTACGAGAACCTTATAAACGTACTCGACTGCCACACTCGAACACTCACACGTGCGTGCGAATCCGCTTTCCAATTAGAAGAGAGTTGCCTAATGCCTACCAATCATCTAAATCGTACCTCTAAACCGTCTTCGCTATTAATTGGAACGAATCATCAATTTTTCTCTGTTCTGGTTCGGATCAGTGATCAAATGAAATACATATGTTAATTCCCTGGGAGTTTAAAAATATTGCCTTTTACGAAATTAAAAGCGTTTGGATGACAAACTCAACACTCGGAATACCACGGACGATCTAGGTGCTTGTAAATTGCATGTGATGTAACTCGCTGCACGGCAAACAGCCTGGTTCGATTCCTCACGGCCCAGATTCGTTGATTCTGAGAATCGAAGCGTCGATCGACTTACCGACGTGGGGCCATTAGCATCGGAAATCGCGTATGAATGAAATCCGTGCAGCGGCAAATTGATAGCTAAATGGTAATTCGACTAAATGGGAAACGAGCGGGCGATATAGTATTTTGCCGGTCGTTCACGTAGTCATTTCGAATTGACTGCGTCGTTAATGTTTCATTATTGCCATCGTTTATCTGACCTCCGCCATTGTGTCCCGTTAATGAAATGAGCCCTGGTTCAGCGTGAAACGTCGTTCCAAGAATTATTCGGAATTAGCGTCGATTTAATGATTTAACGTTCGACTTTATTAAGTTCAACGCCTGCGTGAACTAATGTCCCGCGGTCAGGTGTCGTAAACTTCGCGAGAAAGTCGACTCGAACCTTTGATATTAAGACGCAACGCGTGACCAACGCGAACGTAATGAAGAAACCCTTAGAATTCCTTTCCATCGTTAGCGACCAATCAGCGGTAATTGTGAAACTATACAGGCTGCCCTACTAGCTCACAGTAATTGTAGGTAATTTCTGAAAGATTTAATTACTGAAATCTGAACTATGATTTGGACATCATACGATAAGCACACGTTGGATACTTTGTAAAAGTTCCAAATGAATATATTTAGATTATATTTAGTTCAAACTGTATTTAATTTTATGACTGCATCTTTCATTCTAGTGAATTCTTCACGTTTGAATTTCTGATCTACTTTATTCCTGAAATATTGTAATCGTTTTGAAGTACGTATCCGAAGTGAATATCTCCCTCTCGGTGTGCCTGATTCTCACACAGATCGTGTTTTACCCAATAATCGCGATCTCGGTTACTGATGCGCGAGGAATTGGATTCGAAGCTTGCCGCGTCACGTCTGATCACGCACGGGCTTATTCCACTTGTCGCGCACGCGACCACGAAACACCGAAAAATCCCCATTGTCAGAAGCCCCCAGTCTTTTCCCAGAGGCATGACTCGCGTTCCCAGGGGTACCTGAAGAGTAAACATGGACGTCCTCGTCGTTCCCTCTACCGAATATTCGTGAAATTGTTGGGATTCACGCTTTACTCGCCGAATGGAACGTTGAGACTATTCCCACTCACGAGGGGAAAAATCAGATGGTCTTACTAGAATTTTTGCGGGAAAGCTACCTGCGAGAATATTTTGAAGTTTTAATGGAATATTGTAGAGTATATTTGCTACACTTTATCGTTTTTTTAATGATCGTAATGGGAATATGGTCTGTTTCAAAATGGCTTGAAGAATAATGCACTGACAGAAGAGATATTTTCAAAAGTAACCAGTATATTATCTCGAAATTTTAACAGCTTCTAAAACACTACATTCTTTTCATTGAAATTGTTATTTTCAAATATACTTCACCGAATTTTGCAGACAAAGCGCGCTCGTATCCTGAATATTCAAAAAATGTCAAAGTGTAAAAAACATTCTGTAGAATCCAATATATAAAATTGAGTATTATTCGCGCTGGTCGTTTTCCTGCGAAAAAAATCAGTTCGAAAATGAGGACATATTCATATATTTTCGCGAAGCAGGAAAAATTCGTTTGACATCAAACACGAACTCCGAAAGTTAGAGCATTGTATTGGCGAGCAAGTTCGACTCGCTAATGCCGGCCGACCGCAGACAGTACTGACTGACGCTTCGCGGTTTCGCAGATCGACAGGACGATATCGACGGCTACGTACGAGAAATTAAAAACAGGATGCTACCGAATAAAATACGTCACCGAACGTAGAAGCGCAACCCCCATTCGTTACACTGATATACTGGCATAACGTGCGCTGCCAATAAATTCACCGTGACCGCGGCGAGGTTCTACGTGGAATACGTACTCTCGCGACTTCATTCCCAGCGAACGAGGCCGTGGATACTAACCGTTTCATATTTCTTTGGGAGAACGACGCGATAACTATCGTCCCTCCCCCTCTCTAGCGGGGGATAATGTGGCGGAAAAATTGTTAACCCGTGCCCACGGTAACCGTTTTATTTATTGCATAGGGGACTCTTTAGATACGTCGGAACGCCGAATAACCGTTTAAAAAGAAGCGAAACGATTGGAAGAACGAAATGCAGAGGAAATGAAGGAGAAAATTAGAAATGAATAGACCGAAGTATAAGTTGTAGGGTACTAAAAATTAGAAAATTATGCTGTGAAAGAGAGACAGAGGGAAATGCCAGGAAATATCAGTATGCTTTTGGTTTTGTTTGAGCCCGCAACTAATTTGAAATTACTTTTAATTTATTCTCTAGCATTTTCTATGTCTTGAGTGATTTAAATCAAATTTTGCTTCATTTGGCAGTGATACGGATGAATCATAAATTTTTATTTCGTACCAGTGATCTACCTTCAGAGATGATCAACCTTTTAATTTTTCTGGATGTGCATATTCCTTAAATCGTTCACGTGAAACAGGAGACTCAAAACAAAACAAACAAATTTCCCTGATTTCGAGGATAGTTAGACAGTACCATTAAAAAGTGAATGTTTCGGGTTATTAGCCATCTAAATGCTCCCTAATCTGCACGCTCTAGTCTGAGCCTAGAGCTTCGACTCCTCGAATCCACTTCGAGTTCTGGGGATCCGCGTGGATCAGCGCGGATGGGTTTCTGAACACGGATGAGAGTTAAAATGGATCCCTCCCTCCAGGCGGATCGAGGCAGATTCGAAGTCAAAACGGGTCGAGGCTCGCGAAAGCCATCCATTAAACAATGATCGCTATTGTTTCAACTTACCAAAACGGTGTGTTCAACGAATCTTAAAGGTAAATATTGGACGAAAAAATTGATCGCCTGTCGACACGAGCGCGAAATCGTGGGGGGCGCGGGGGACTTTGATTTCGGACAGGCTAAACAACGGACGAGCGAGTATTCACGAAAACCAAACCGAGTTTCATCGCGTGGATGCGCAGCCACGGTCCATTTAAACATCACTGACCGAAGCGGCACGATATAAAACCGTTCGATCGTGCTCGCTTTTTTTTTGCCTCCCAAACCCTCGACCGCTGGACGAAAATCGTTTACAATTTATCTCGCGGCGTCTACTGCGACGAAACCTAATTCGGTCCTCGCGCTGCGGAACGACTGCAATTGGGGACATTTCGAGTCGCAGAGTCGCGCGATAGGTATCGTATGGTTTGTTGAATCGGAACTAGCGTCGGGTGAAACATTTTTACCCACCTGTGAAAATTGTAGAACAAAGAGGGACAAAATTCGGTCCATTCGTTTTAAGCTTGTCTAGGCCACAAAACTGGGTTGAAAACGAACACGATATACGGGACATTCGCAGTTCGCGCTGTTCGATTAATTGTCGAAGAATTACTTGAAAATAACGTGTGGCATTTCATCTTACGCGTTATTAGAACAGTGGGGAAACGTGACTAATAAAATGCTTGGAATTCGTGAATAAGATAAATAGATTATATCGGGTGACCCGTAACTCGTTGTACAAGCGAGTAGGGGGTGATTTTACGTGAAAAATTGAATCGAAAATGTAGAATATTTTGTTTTTATATGGCCCTTCATTTTCGAAACAAATAAGTTTCAAAATTTGTCGAGTTCGCGTGCACTTGGATCAGCTTCAACTCGACGAATTTCATTGTATATCACCTCTATTCTTGTTCGTGAACGTTGTCAATAGATCGATGAATAGATTTCCAGGAAAAAAATTTCACCACCTACTCGCTTGTACTATCAGTTACGGGACACCCTGTATTTATGAGATCCAATATGAGTTTGACTTGAAGAAGCTGAATTTTTAAATAAATTTAGTACCGTGGTGAATTATTATCTTACTCTTGGCCTGCAACCTTGATTAACCACTCACCATCAGCATGGATTCCCAGGCCATCCATCGAATTGGCAGTGGTGGTCGACCATCGACTCGAAAGTAGTCAGCTGCGTAGGCGCTTCTTCCAGAACCCAGATCCGATACCTTCACCGTGTAACCACGGCTCACCAAGCAGTTTCTGCAACAACCCCACCCACCCACCCTTAGATTAGTCCCTGTGTCATTTTCTTATAAAAATAATGTGTAAAACTTAATGTCCCATGATGTAATTTTCTTAAATTCTCTTTTACTCCTCTCCAAAGGTAATATCAAACTAGACCGTCGCTAGCCAAAACCTCTCGTACTGTTTATTTTATTTAGAACACGGTTATACTGCATTATGTTAACGACAAATGAAAAAAGCTTTCAATCCATTTGTCGGCAGTTAAGTCTTTTTCCATTTGGCTCTCTCGTCACTCGTCCTGAACCCTCTGTCCCGAGCCTACGACCCTTGGTATTTACGATACAACTTCCGTGCTGCAAGAAAGTACAGCAGACCTCACGAGATAATCCGTCTTCGAGGTCGAGCGGATTAGTTCGGTCTCCCCTGTTCTGTCACTCGGACACGTAGAGTGAATTGCTACGAAACGCGCTTAAAGCACGGTTCGCGACCCTCGAGCGGGATCAGCGTAAGCTCAAGAAAGAATATTCTCCGACTGTTAGTGCTGGTTCGATGCGCTTCGATCCATTCTGACAGAAAAATTACATCTGGAAGGATTCTGGGTCCACGGTGGACCTGGATGAAAGAGAAAACTGGTCAAATAATAAATGCCATATATTTAAATAAAAAAAAACTTCTTTATATTCTTTATATTCTCTTTAATTTGTTGATTACTTCTGATTTATTCTCGTCCTTATACAATTTATTGAAATTAATTCTAGAACTAGACACATGGAGAAACATTAGAAGCTTTCTCATAAGAGTTGAAACAGTTTCCATCCCTGAAGGGAATACTTTCAGTGCTCCTCGACTTTCCACGCGCTTTAAAGCATCGTCTCGCCAGCGATGGATTCCTGAAGAGTGTTTCGAGGGAAAGGGAGCCGCGCTTTTAAGCAGCCTATGGCAGAAAGGTTCCCAAGCACGTCGAAAGAGATGGCTGACCAAAGTTTCGCGCTGATTTGCACGTAAAACCAGGCGTTTATCGCGGAACGGTTTACTAACTGCCGCGACGCTTTTATTTTACGTGCGTCGCGAAGTGCCCTTGGCGTCCGTGGCTGATCGAGACATCTGCGAGCCTTCTGGTAGTTTCACCAGCGACTTTTCACGCCGTTGGTTAAACAACGCTACGTGACACGTGTGGCGGGGGCGATTAAAAATTGTATTACGCGGTTTAAGTAATCTCCCCTGTTGCAGCAGGACGCAGCAGGGAAGTGCGGTTTCCGCATTCGATTACGCGGCAAAATAACGGCACTTGCAGGCACCGTAGTATATTTTGTTGTCAGTATTAATAGCGTCCAACCATATCTATTACGAGCGGTAACGAGCATGGTACGATTAAAATATTTTAAAGAATCCAACGCGTCCCCGTTTATAATGGAATTGGGGGCAATATGGCCGCTGGTGTTATTCAAACGCGTTGTATAATATAGAAGAGATTTTTTGTTGATATTCTCGTTGATAAAAAATACTACACAATGTATTCGGTTGTCCGGAAAGTTCGTGTCAATGTTTAAGAAAACTTCAAAGGCACATTTGAATTTTAATATACATTTATTAAATAACATAGGTACCATTTTGTTCACAACCTTTCCACCTTTTAAGAAATCTGTGCATGCTATTTGTTGTCAAGCATTATGATTTATTCAGACCTGTAGCACCTACCAAAAATTGATATGGACTTCCCAAACAATTCAACATATCTACCGTACACTCTGGAATAATTTATTTGGTAGGGCCATTTAATTTCGATTACCTTGATGAGGCTGAAAATGCTGTTATTGAAATCTAACATCTACCGAAAATGCACAGTAACGTACAATGACAGTCGAGTATATCTCAAATCTTAAGTCCACCCAGCTCATAACATCCCAACATGCGAGATACATGTCCGCTCTCGCATAGTACTCGAAAACGAACATAAAGCTTCGCAATGCCCAGCAGCCTTTAACCATACGCGAACAGAAGCGCGCGGCTCGTGTAACCTCTCGTATTTTAGAGAATAATCTAAACCACGCTCGTGTAACTCCCGTGTTCTCTTAATAACGCGAACGTCAAAGGTTTCCGGAAGGGTGCCTTTCGCTGTTGCGCTAAACGCGACAATGCCTGGCGAATTGTTCGTTTAATCGGGACGGTTCAAAGGACTGGCAAGCGTTTCATATATCCATCGTTTTATTCGCCAGTGGGTGGTCGGTTATTGGGCCGTTTGGCCTCAACACTCGTTTCTATAAATCAACAGGCAATTAATTTCAGCCGCGTCGCGTCGAGCGTGTTCCAACGTTTATGCGACGCCGGCGCTTGCGCCGAGGGGCATTATAATTAAAGTTTATGATTAGAGTTAATAATTCGAATACGTGACCCCGACCATCCCCCGGCCTTCTCCCAGCCTGTTCAGTTTTAATGGCCCCGCCACGTTGAACGTCCCGTTGAGTTGCCAGCGGTGTCGACGCCGGGGAGTTTCTAAATCGAAGCTGCGGTAGGGTAGGAGGACCTTGGCTGGAGACCTGGGCGAAATCGTAACAGAAAGGGTTGGGAAACTTCGTCCTTAAACAGGGGCGCTCTCGTAACGGTGAACTGCTGACATAATTCGCTCGAGCGATTTATGTGTACTTCGACGCGCAGTTGGAGAAGAAACTCGAGCGTGTAAATCGGGGGCGTACTAATTATGAAATCTGTCGACATCTATGATGATATAACAACACTCTGGTGCCTTGCAATTAGACGCTAATTACTATGTTTCGAAGTTAAACGTTGGATTGGTTTTTTTATAATGAGAAGGTTTATTCTTCTTTATTAATAAATTCATGGCAATCTCGTTGCGTGTAATTCCTTTATTATACTGTATGTTGTATAATAAAGGAATTCCATGAATCGATACCTCCTGTATTGATGTATAGGAGTTGAAGTAAATCTCGTAATTGTATGTGGAAATCTCTTTATTAAAAATCTTTATTAAAACTCTTTATTATATTCCATAATAGAGAGATTTCATACATTACTACTTGTGAGATTCTTGTAAATTTATCATTGTTAAAAAAGAATTCATAACGTTGAGCTTCGAAGAGCAATTATAATTTAAGAAATATTTTAGAAAGATTACTGGCAAATTTAGGATCGAGGCTCGATAGCAGCCATAGTTATACACTCTCGGAGCGAAAGTTCCTCCGTGGTTGGCGGTTGCTCTCATCAACGTGAAAACGCGTTTACGCAAAGTAAAGAGCAGGGGGTATCGTCGAACGAGTGACTGATCGCCAAAGTTTGTCGTAAAGTAATCCATGAGAGACTGTCGTTACCTTGTGGCGAGATCCCGATGCACGAAGTCCATTTCCTCGAGGTGTTTCATACCGGATGCTATTTGCGTGGCCATGTAAACCAACGTGCCGAAACTGCAACACGAAGAACGAGGACGTTTCCATCGTGAAGTTTACTCCTCGAAACTCTATCAATGTGTACGTCCCCCGATACGTACGTATCGCGTTATGTACACGAACAGTCGTTTCCATCGGTCGGCAATACCGCAAATGACGACGGTTTAAAGTACAGTCAGACGCACGCCGACTGACCATTTGCATTAACAACAAAAGCCTCGACGGATCGATCGTTTCCTGCGTTCCGTTCTGCCCGACGTACAAACGAGCTCCGCGCTTTTTTTTTCTTTACTTATCTCGCTACTTTCATTCGAGACGCGAGTGGCACGTTCTCCATCATCGATGTTTAACACAGTGTAGCGATTTATTCGCGATTGAGCAGTTATGAGGTTTTATTTCTTCGACGTGGAATATAATCGAGAATCTTATGCTTTGATCTACGTAGGACGTAGTTTCTTCTACAGTCAGTCTAATCTTCTACAGTCCACGACTGGATCCAATAAGTGTTCGAATAGGCGACAAAGAGTGAACGAGTACATGCGTTTGTTCGAATAATAGGGTCGACTATTTTTCGGCTAACTTTTTTACAAGCGGATTACGCGGTGGAGCAGATTTATTTGTTCGCGGGATGACCAACGCCAATGGAACTTGGGTGAATATCGTCGAATGCGCGTGTTCATGACGAGAAACGATATATTTCATTCGGATTCACCAGCTAGTTCGCTTCCGAAAAATACATCGAGCGAGTTTTCATTATTTCTCCGTCGTGATGTTTGCGAGACGCGTTTTCGCGAGCCGAGTTCTGTAAATAACACGAAATTTCAATTAGCTGCCGGTTATGTATCGGTTATGCAGCGAAAAATGTTTACGGGGCTGATCGAATTTGAATTTCACCGACTGTTAAACTGTTCGATTGCAGCCTCGAAGGTGTTTCGATAGTTCGATCCAGCGTGATGGGTGACGATAGAGTTTGAAACAATTTTAGTTAACTGTATTTCGTTCATGCCACTCTGGATCCGTCACATTTTGAGGTGCTAGGGATTTTGATGGAATTGAAATACCATGTATTCCGTATTAAATTATAGAGAGTTCGATCATTTTGCTGGTTTAGAGTTTGATAAAAAAGCACAGGACGAACGATCAGAAAAGCAAAATATCTGGATATTCATGGTCATCTCTCGTAATATCTACATATTTCCACGCTACATTTTTTCTCAAAATAACGAAGATCCACCTTGCGTTGTATTTGAACGCATTGGAAACGAGCGAAACGATGACTCGAACTCTCGCTAATTTCACGTGGGTTACGCCATATTGCAATTTCACCAAAACCCCTGACATCGAGCGCAAGAAGTGATTGATTTAGCGCAGAATGAACCGTTTAGCGAGTACGGCAACTGGCAGCGCCTGAAACGCCGGTTTACGGAGCGAATGAAAATAGTTTCGTTTGTGTCGTGAGTTTAATTAACAGGATCAAGTAGCTTTGACCGGCGTATAGGTTCCTAATTCCGTCAGTTACAGGATTGATTTGTTACGCTTGGATTCTTGTACATCGATTTAACGGTCATTCTGACGAACGACGCGTTCAATAAAATAGACCTAAGGAAATATATAATAAAAAAAAGTGAATACATAGAATGCCGCGCGTTTGAAGCGTAACTTCTTAGACGCGATGGTGAAATTTTATTAAATATTTAATAAAAGTCTTAAAGACTACAATAATTCCTTCGTTAACATGAAATTATCGTGACATCTACTTTTCAATAGATTATTATTGCAATTTATTCTGAGAATTGAGACTAAAGAGTGCTCCCAGGGTTGAACGTTAATCGTGATTCAACTTTTACTATTCGTCATGCTCCAATCGCCACTGATCTTTAGATTTGGTTGCTTTGAAGACCGTTCGGGCCAAGATAAAAAGGAAGAACGATTTCATCGGTGGTTCCGCTTGCAACGACCACCAGGAAGCGAACGGCACGGGAAAAACACGGTCCACCGACAGCTGTCACGTGCACCGTTGGATCTTCTCTGTCGTTCACCTCTCATTTTCAGCCGATTTCTCGTATTTCGAGCACTTTCGACTGATTCGCGGACATGCCGCATTTCCACACGCGCCTCGAACGTGATTGGAACTGACGGTTCTCGCAACGATAAAATCGAAAAATTGGGTTCATTGTTCTCCGACGGGCGTCATCGTTAACTGAAATATCATTCGTCACGCACACGAATTCAACGACAAGAAAAATCGTCGTTGTTTCAATTTCGATTTCGACACACGCGCAGCTCGGAACGCGAACGCTGCATCCTCCCCCTCGGTGATTGAAAAATCAAACAACGTTTTCGACTGTAAGCTCGACCGGCGCGCTGTAATATACGAAGCTAATTAATCTCCGCTTCGTAACGTATGAAACGTCCATTTGCAAGTAATCCTGCGACCATTATCGGTGAAACTGCTGTTTGGTGGAAATTTGAACTTTTTCGTTGACACAGAACCAACTGATATTGAACATCACAGGGATATTCCAATGTGGTTTCTTTTTACAATGATATTTAGTAGTACGACGCTCACGTTGATTAATTTTATTTTATCATTCGAGGAAGATCGAAGCTGAAAACTGAGTAATGAAAACATCACGAATACTTGAAAATTTCCTCAACGAACATTACAGAGATTCTGTTCCTAGCAGTTCTTATCAAGCACATTATGCAAGAGAGGGTTAAGCTGTCCTCACATATTAAATTCCGCGACACTTATTGTACAACCCAGAAGACCCGCAATTCTACGAATTTCTTATGATTCATGAAATCTGTGACCCCAGAGTTTTATACTAATAGAATTCAAATATTCTCGATACATACAACGTAATAAAAATCCATGAAACGCTTCACAGCCTATCAGTCATCATAATACAAAAATTCAAATTAAAAGCATCCTTACTTCCACGTCCAAAATGAACCACATGCAGTGGTCTAAAAAATACGGAAGGCCTTATCGGTACAAGTTTGCTTGGTAAAGTCCACCAATGAATTACTTCCAACAATACCTGCAAGAGTCCAAAGTGGGGAGCCCTGTTCCGCTCGATTTAATCGCAGGATTACTCTGTCAACTGGGCAAAACTGTTTCGTCGCTCGAGCGCTGGTAATTAGTCGTACCTGAGTGTCTTGGCAGTGTGCACGGTGGACGTTTCAGCGATGTGGCTCTGCAAATATTGATTCAAATCCCCGTACTCGCCGTTTTCCAATACGATGCACATGGGGTCGTCTTCGAGGCTGGCGCCTAGTAGCCGCGCGACATTCCGATCGGTCAAACGTGCCGCTCTTTTTGCCTCCTGTTGAAATTCTATCCTGGAAAATACAGGGGGGGCACTCGGAAGTAATATCTTTATAGCCGGATGCTCTAACGGGGATGTATTGAATACGGACACGCGGATATACTGGAAATAATGCGAGTATTCTGTCTGGGCACCGTGTCGTTGTCCCGTGGCTCGCCCTCCCACGGGAGAGGAGGGCAGCGAGAGGAACGGAGACTCTGGGAAAACAACGGAAGAATGAAAGAGGGATTGTAGCTGGCAGAAGCTACGTAACACCGAGCCTGGGATAACGGCTACTACCGAGATTATCGTTTCGAGGACGCTTGTGAGCTTCATGTTTAATAGAGCTTTCCGCTTGTATTTCGGTTGTCTAATATTTATGATCTGGATGAGAAGAAGCCCTTCGAGGGCCGCTTATTTCTGAGCCGTGCTCTTCGGAAATCGATTGTTTGCGCTGAGGCACTTTCCAAGGTGTACACAGTCTCTTGTACTGTAGAAAGGGATCATTTCTGGTGTTTTCTCGAATTGCTTGTCTACTCGAGAAAACAAGCTACGACATTTATCTATAATTAAGTAAACACGTTTCTTTACACCTGAACATGCCAAGTACATGGTCAAACATTCTTTTAAAGTACCATTGTTCCACGAATGCTTTTCCACGCGTTGAAAAATCCTACGTTTCAGCAAAATCCAAGATAGCGCTCCATGACATTTTTGATTCTACGCGAAACGACTCGCAATAGTATTTTCCCAGCAACGACGAGCGATGCTCGGACTAGATTTCGCCTGAAACCTCCGCGAGCGTAATATCAATTAATTGTGGGCACAATTATCGCGAATAAACGGCAGGATGCATAAGCTTCTAGAACACACGGTTTTCGCATGCTCGAAAACCGCTCGTTTCCCATGTACCTTTTGCGGCAAGATTACCATCGAATTTTCGTGCGAGTTAACTAGCATGCCCCACAGTATAGCGAGAAAAATGTAATAAAGGTAAAGGAATATCGCGTCAATGTTTGGCTACTGTCAAAAAACCATAGATAGCAACATTGTCGGATATATCAACAAAACACTCCTTCTCTTCCTTTTCCGCTTTGCAGCTCGTTGTCGTGATTCTTCTCTCTCTGAAATAATATACAGTCAGTTCCATAAATATCCGTGCCCTCTATGACTATCAAATAAAGTCTAAATTAAATAATAGGTTTATTGTTTCCAAACAAATATTTCATTACCGATACATACAAGTGTGAAGTTTATTTATGTACATATTTATAATAAAACATTTATTTGAAAATACCAGCACCTATCATATAATTTAGACAGATTTCTTTAATAGACATAGAAGATTCGAATATTTATGAGATTGACTGTACATAATATGCTTGAGTCGACTTACAAACAACCTGACCGTTTTCTAAGAAGCTTTAAAACAGACGACACGACGTTAATCTTCCTCTAACCACTCAAATTCGTCGCAGTCTGGTGAAAAGGGCACTGTAAACCGCTCGACAAAGTTCAAATAATTTCCTGGGTAGCGCAGCCGGCCTCAAAGGATAGTCAGGTGAAGTTTGACAAAGTTAATTAGGGGGCCTCTGTCAATCGTAGGTGCCTGTGCCGCGAGTCGCGGAAAACACTAGCGAACAAGTTATCCGTTTAAGCGTCAGTCGGTGACCGTTTAAACACCTTTCGCATTATCGGCGTCGCGCCAACTTAATACGTGGACCGTGTTATTATATTCGAAAATCACTTTGCGTCCCCGTTATCAAATTACCGGTTTAACGTGCCGCTCTAGATATAATCGATTGAGATAATTTTCTATCGATGTCCTATATTTCCATTATTTTCCTCGTACGAGCCGCGCCCCTCCCGCTAGATAATAATAAATGAATCAGAGTAGCACTCTATAATCGACCCGGATAATTTTCCAACGTTATCCTATACCGCCCATATTTTCCTCCGTCGTAAAATATCGCACGCTCAATAGTCCCTGGGCCACTGTATTTAGTAACTTAAACGAATGTTCCAATAACGTGTTGTCCGATTCATTTCCATTGGCGAATTTAATTATGGACGCTCCTTTATCGGTTCCCAATTGTACCGCGTTGTTCCTCGAGTACAGGTGTGTACCGAAAGCTGATATCGAATTTAGCGAGCACGTGGCACTCGCCTAGACAGCCAGCGAATCCATGGCACACATGGGCTCGAACATGATTTGCATTGGAACCGTAAGACACGTTCGACGGTGAAATATTAGTTTCGTGCGAAGGAAATATACCGAGTAACCTCGATTACTTTGGTAAATACGTTGTTGCGTGTTTTCATTGAAAAGTGCACGGGAACGCTAATCTCCGTTTGCTCGTTTGTCAATGGCAGTTTCTAATGCGCTGCTTCAATTCTTGCGAGTTAAATATGCAACGAGTGGTAACGATGGTACTTTGCGCTCGCTAAAATATCGAAAGACAGAAATGACGTGGAAATAATTAACATAGTCTTCGATCCCGGTGCATCAGCGATACTCCATCGAGTATGCGACGCACTCGAGCGTCGCGGAATCCCGGAGCCGGAGTAACTCCCTCGACTTCCGCGATTATTTGCTTAGTGCCGGCGAATTTCGGGGTTAATACACCGGCTGGGAGGCAGTTGATGATAATACGCGATCCTTACCTAAGCGCATCCGAGGATCCAGGTCTCAGGGACTTAACGATCACGAGGTCGCTGCTGGTGTTCCGGAAAACTTCGTCGTATCCGGGAAACCTGTCGACCTCGCAAATGTGAACGTCGCCGAAGTATCCGCAGCCGAGGTTTTCAACGATGTTGAGCTTCTCCCTGGGGAAGTCTAAGATGCACTCGGGCACCTCGTCTTCCTCTTCTGTAAGCATATCCTCGGGACTGTAGCTTGTCATGCTACTGGAGGCTTTCGCGCTCATTGGCGGTGGCGTGCTGGGTGTCGGCGACGGCGGCAACGGCGGCAGGGAATTCTGCAATGAAACGCAAAGTGTCGCAATGAAAAGAAAAGGGGGTCGGGGGTATTTACGGGGCAATATGCGGGAAACAACGAAAATCCGGAATAAACGCGGTATTATTTCTGCAGCGAGCGCGCGACCTTGTGGTTTGCGTATCTTTCATTTCAATTCACACGGCTTGTCGAAAGGTGTAATTGAAAGAAAACATTTGAAAGCGTGAGCGGGCTCTCAGAGGTGGGTTCAGTGCACGGATTAATGTTAATTGAGAAGCGTGCGTGGTAAGAATGTTCGATTCTTTTGCAATTCATTTGAAAAATTTGTTCAGTTGTTACTAATTCAATGCACATTGGAATCTTTAGACTTTATTTATGATATACAGTCAATCCCATAAATATTCGTACTCGCTATGTCTATTAAAGAAATTTGTTTAAATTAAATGGCAGGTTTGATATTTTCGAATGTGTATGTTTGTATAAATACATGTGTATATAAATATATACGTATGTAAGCTTATTCATATGCATATTTATAATGAAACATTCATTTGGTAATATCGAAACTATTATTTACTTTAGTCCAACTTCTTCAATAGACATAGAGGGTACGAATATTTATGGGATTATCTGGCATTTCCAAATATCAAATTACCTTCATATGTCCATGAGAGTAATTTTTCGACCATACCCCTCGATACTATTATTTTACTTTCTTACATTTTGTATATTATATATTGTATGTATGTTGTATATTATTTTTTCTAACAGTTTTAAGGGCTTTTATTATGGCCTTGCTTCAAAGAGAATTTAGATTTAAATAGTATCTTTAAATAAACATCATCCCTTCGTAATCATCTTCGATTGCCATTTAACATTACCACTGCACCCTTTACACGTATGAATTCTGCGTGCAGCCCAGTCTATTGTAGTACGATTAGTCCCTCCGATCGCCTCGATAGGTTACCCCAGCGAATCCCTTAAGTATTTAATTACGACCCTGCATTATTCATGTTCATGACCAAGCATTCGCCATTAATATTTCTTTCTGCGAATCGACCCCTCTGTTCCACCGCTCTTACGTTATCCTTAATCTGAGGGCGCAATTAGGTGGCAAATTTATAAAAATCATGGTCAATATTTCTTGGGTAAATACGCCGACGAATAACATTATTCATCGTGCGGGACCACCACGGGGAACGACCGGCATAATCAGATGAAAATAAGCGTAAAGCCACGGGGAACTTGAGTAATCAATAACCACACCCTTTACATTATCGCTCGGTAATCAGTGTATGCCCACGAAAGACGTTTCCCTCGGACGTCTCGCATTAGTTATGATTGATAGTGTCCCTCCCCCCCTCCTCCCGCGGTTGCCTTGTTTTTCATCCATTAAGCCTCATTATTCTCCGCGCGAAGTGTTTTAACGTAGCATATTCTGAACGCGAGACCATTGATCGCTCTCTTTCGGCGAGCTCTTTCGGCGAGCTGGAAACACTTAGGGCTGGTCACCTTGAACTGAACGCTTAGGTGAATCTGGTAACTGGGCCAAGCTATACTTCAGGCTTGTACTATTCTGTATCAAAATTGGGATTAACACAGTTATATGTACCTGCTTCAGCTCTTTCGGACCTGAATTGTTTTTCTTTCTTGTACAAATGTAATTTAAATTTTAGGGTTAACGTGGACTAAAATTAGTATGAAAAAAATAAAGAAAAAAATTCTAATAGTGTAGTTATCGCAGAAAACTGGTCTTCCTTCATGTGCACAAATAAAGACATTCGCCCTAAACTATGTATAATGTCGGTGATTTTTAAATATTGTGTCCTCAACTATGGACGCCAGGTCTGAAAGGATCGACCGTGTGTAACGCATCAATCTGTACAAAATAGAACAACGCAAACATTGAATTTCATTTAAGAGATTCTACACGGGTTTATCCCAGATTCCTGGTACGTCATTTATTCATTACGATCAACACAAGTTAATAACGCGAACAATTTAAAGCTTCGATGAGGATCGCCACCGTAGACGTACAGAGGCAAAGTCGAACAGAATCGAATTAATGAGGGGTACGGAAGAGCATCGCGGCGAAACAACAAGAAATTAAGAGGAACCTGGAGAAGTTCGCGGGGCCGGCAACCCTCGAAAGGGAAACGATTCAAGCGGCTGGCCGCGTGCCGCGATCGCTTCCTAAGATCCAGGAGTCACGAAGCCGAGGCGTTTGACACAGTTCCGTGCCCCCAAGTGGCCCGCATTAATGCCCCCTCTTCCTCCACCTTCACTCCACCTTCTCGCAGAAGGACTAATCGTCACGGATCGCATGTCTGCCGTACATTTTTGATACTCACCTTGCAGATCTCCGTACTGGCGTAATACTTTTCCGGCGGCGGTGGTATGGGTGGCGGATTAGATGGATATTCTTGAACCGGCGGAATTGGCCTGGCAAGATTGATCGCCGTGTTCAGCAAGAGCGGAATAACCGGCTGCGCCTCCGTGATCCCTGCTCGGTGATACCGGCGAGCGGAAAGGAAAAAAGAATTTTTTGACAAGGTTAGAGAGACACGACGGCGAACGCGCACGCGAAGAAATTACCAAGCGAACGGTTTAAACTGTACGCGTTTGCGTGCTCCGCGGGGAAACTTTCCAACAAGCGTTTCCGTCATTTTCTTTTCTATTATCGGAGTCGTTTTATTCCGACACGCGGACGTGCCGTGTCCGCCGCGACGCGTTGGGTTTCCCTTATCTTTCTGGGACGAAGGTCCGATCGGATCGGTCTCGAGAGCTGGCGATTTTTGCAATTAAATCTTTTTCTCACGTGAAACTGTGGAGAACCCGTTCTGTATCCTTGGTAGACTCTACAGGGTGTCCTGTAACAGTGCATCTGGAGAATCACCCTTTGCGCGGGGGTTTTGGTTTGAAGAAAATTTATTTTGCAGAGCTAGTTGGGTTTACGAATTATTAAATATTTGGACCATGGATGATATCGAATTTTCTAGGCTTTGATAGGAATGTAATAATGTAATAATTCGTCAGACTACGATAGTAATGATACATTTTGCAATTTAATATATTAATTCAATAAATATTTTTCCATCATCAATCCCACAAAGTCTGTTCGTGTTACTTTATACTAATAAAGTCAATTATAGTGATGTTAAATTTTGAATAAGTCCTGGAGAATGTTTGCATCACAATCCAAAACGTGGGAATTAATAAATCTTTGTTCTATTTTGCTCCCGCCACCAACGAGGAGTTATTGCTTTCCTGAACTCATTAGTCACAGTTTGATAAATTATTACCTTCGTATGCCACACAAACGTGACTAATATCTATTACGCAATTTATTTAACAAATTCAGCAACCAATAGTCATTCAATGACAAAGTTTTGCATCTATCAATATTTTTAAATTACAAATGTTTTTAATATTTTATTGGAGACCTACTTTTTCCACTAGTGCCAGTAATTGAAGGACACTTTGTATGCTGAGGATTCGTTGACCGGAATCGACGTAGTTATCTGAATTTCGGATGTTCAGCTTTACGTTATAACGTCTTCAACCGTTAATATTCCGAGTTACTATTAAACGAATGAAATTAAGTTTTAATTGGAGCGGTTAGTTCCGAATTAATTTTGCTCGGCGTTTTGCTCGACAGACTGCGGCAAGTACGAGGAGAAAACTATGTCGACGCCGGTAAAGCTAAGAACAGAGTCTCGGAAACGCGTCGGTCATCAAAACTTGTTTTCTGGAATTTCAACACCGTAGTCACGGTGTTTGCGATTATGCGACCAGAGTACGATTTCTTCTGGAATGACGTTAAAGGAAAATGTGATCTACGAGTAATCGATCGGTAATCACGATTAATGATTAGTCTAGGTACGATAGCCATTGGAAGATTACGAAGTACCGATTAACGACTGCAGATTACGAATGGAGTTTCTGATTACCGATTAACCTAGCAATTTTAAGCGATTATTGCAAAGGTAATCATTGCCCAACTCTGACCTGGAACTTGCAAAACCTTCATTCGAGGATCGATCAGTACAGTGAGATCGTTAATCTCTCTACCGCGTCTAGATGTCGGACAAATTTCAGAATTCGCAACGAAAAATGTTGCGCAAAAGTTAAAGTGGATCGTAATCGTACCGTTGCGGTGCCGAGGTACGATAAATCACGTTGAACATTATAATGATTTGGCGCACGTGTAAGTATTGGCTTAAGTACCACGAACTCCATAATAATGTGTCGATCATTAGCCAGTAATTTAATTCGAACGCTGCATGCTTGCATATCACGGTAGGTGTTGCGCGTTTATCGTCGCGACCAATACCTATAGTCTGCTCGCGATTTTATATAATTTTAGTTGGAACGCAAACTCGATAATGCGCCGCGACGGAAAGCCACTCGTTCCGTGTTTTCCCGTTATTTAATTAAAACACGCAACATTCTAACGAATATCGAGTGCCATTGAGCGTTGTCGAGACTAATAACGAATTTGATATTTCGCTGAAATTGCCTATAGACAGCTCTATGACGAGCAATAATTTTCAACAATATTTGGAAATTGTAGCGCTAATAATCGTTAGACTGCAATTGTCTCTGTTTGAATTAATTTAAACCGGATTAACGGTGCATGCGGGGGTGGAGTGCAAAAGGCTCAACGCACAACTGGTACAGGGGGGATTAAAATCGTTCGTTGTATTACTTGCCAACGCGGTGTCCGATTCGTCATAGCAATTGTTCGCCTGGAATTTACAACACTTTGTCCTCGGACTTGTCGTTCAACTTTGAGTCAAGAACGAAATAGTTGGACGCTATAAATTATCGAGTTCACGAGTCTACGAATTTTCATGATCATTTTTTCATAATAAAATTTAAAAAGGACGGCGGTTAATTATGCACCAACCCAATAGTTTAATTTCAATCAATCTTAAGTAGCAAACCGAGATGAACCAATTTCAGACATTTATTTACTTTGAGCAGACAAACTCCGAATTCAATATATCCAGCAGTAGTTCTATGGTAATTAAAATTTACACCTGTATTACCAGGTTTATAATAGTCAGCAAATTTCCACTATCCCTTAATTAGTTTGAATCGGATTAAACGTAAATATAATTAAAAATAACTTAAGCACCCGTTAATGCTCGATAGGCGATAACACCGGATTTAATGTATTCAATTGTCCGTAGTTCTGTAGTAATTAATATTACGCTAAATATTGACAAATATGAATCTCCACTATCTCTGTTTGAATTAAATTAATCCAACTATCCATGCATGACCAATGAACCCTCTATCGCGCAATCTGCTTGCTGGAGAACACAACAAAAACAACATTTGTAATGTTGATCAAGAAAATTCTGTCAATTTACGAATATATAAATAACAAACATTTACACAATACTTTTGTTTCGCATTCGATGGTCTATAGCTTTGCAGCAATCAACAACTTGCAATAATATATCACGTCTGATAACTATCAAATTCGAACCGTCTCCGAATTAAATTAAACAAATAGAATAAAAAAAGATCAAAGCACTCGATTACTTCCGACATTCGAAAGCTTCGAAAAAATTGAATACACGAAATCGTTTGCAACGCTATATCGCGTTATAATTTCCGGGCAATAATTTACGATGTGTGGCGTTGATAATCGCGCAACTCGAGCAACCTCTGTTTGAATTAATTTAAATCGGCCTAACCGTGCATGCACAGGCAGAGTTCGAAAGGCTTAAGTATCGCACTTAACGTCGCTACCAACCGCTGTAATCCGTGATAGTTTTGTGTAGTTGCGGTGTCGTCGTGGTGTAGGCAGCCGCGTGGTACTGCGCCGGAAGCGGAGGGCAAATTGGTCCCTTGTCCTCACCCTCCTCCTGCACGGAGACCTGCGGCCGAATATTGAACGTTGCCGTTAATGCACCTGACATTTATGCACACGCCGCGCGTGTATATCGCGCGGTAAAAGCGATATGCTACCCCCAGAACTTTCCGTCACTTTGTCTCACCCACCCCCCATCCCATTCTACCTCCTTTTCAATACTCGCGACCTTCCCAACTAAATTTTTCATTTATCATTAAACAAACTTTTTCTGTCATAACAGAGAAAATATTAGGTTGTTGCATACGAAACGTCCGATTTTGTAAAGAAGATTTAAACACATGTATTTTTATTACAAATTAATTTTGTCCATCAAAATAAACACCAACAGATTCAGTGCACTTTTGCCAATGATTTTTGTATAATAATAAAGTTTAGAAGAAAAAGTAGAGGGATCGTGTACCGTATTTATTCAGTGAAACATATTTTCGTCGCGGGAAGAAATGACACCAGAAATGATCGCGTCAAACTAGCCACGAAACCGCGGAACCGTTGCTGATAATTTCACGCGGCTTAATTGTCTGCGCAACGCATCGATATGCATTCAACGGAGGCTACGGTAATTCCCCGCGAATAAAATTTATCATATCATCGAGTAATTATTAGTTGCGGCTCGCTCTAACAGTCAGGGAAATTGGATCACACATTGGCCCACGCTCTTTCGTCAATAATTAACGTTCGGTCCAATATCTGAATCGATAGCTCTAATCCACGGGAAGAATGATAAAAAGTATCCAGAATTTATGCAACCTTGTTCCACATCTCGAGCACCGTGTGTCGTGCTCCCAAAAATAGAAGGTCGGAGCTGGGTATCCAGGTTGCGATCGCGTTTGTATTTGTTCAGTAACCGGGTCTGGTCACGACAGCTCGTCCTCGAGAAACAACTTCGACTAATTAAGTAAACAGTCGACTATTTTTCTAATTTCGCTTGGCTGGCTGCAGGTTTCTAACGAAGGCCAAGTTCAGTGACAAGACTCGAAGTTTAGATAGTTTATTGAATACTAGCAATAGAAGCTTCGTACTGCTCGAGTCTCGAAGATGAATTTCAAGATAAATTCCGTATCATTAAGTCTGAACTGATTCTTTTCGTATATATTAATTATACAACACACAAGGACGCAAAAAGTCCTTATTTCTAAAGGTGGATCTGCATAGAGATTACAATCGTAACATTGAAAGTGATCTGTACATTCTTTTTTATCATCTTCAAAGTTGTCGAAGGGGATAGTTTCGTGCTTACAGCGTGGCCGGTTTTTATCGACCGCAGCTTTCCCTCGGAAGACCGTGTGTCGTGGCCAACGCGACTAAAAAAGAACGCCCCGGTCAAGGATCGTCAGCTCAGGAAATTAAGACTCCTGTTGTAACAAACAATTCGCTGTCGGAAGCGGGATCTCACACCCCCGTTCTTTTTATCAATCGATAAACGAGATCGTGTCGAGGGCGCGAGTCTCCACGGTCGCGACATAATATCCATTGATTTTCGCCTTGCCCACTGCTCGAATGTCGTAGACGGTTCGGCTGGAAGGGCACCAGAGGGTAGAGGGGTGTTAATTTCCGTTTAGGAAGCGTTAGGGGTGACTCACTGGGCGAGATGCTGCACCGCCGCCGTTAAGATAAGATAACCACTTAGCCATTGGGATTCTACTCGAATCTCTTTGCCCGATTCCCACCCGTTCACGCCGTCTTTCCTCGCCCTCTTCCTCTCCACCTTTTTCTTTGATCGCCCACCGTTTCTGGTACGTTGCTCGTCTTCCTGTCATCTGGGTTTCCATCCGACGCCTCTCTTTCGCCATTAGGGCTATCTGGAGTCCTGTCGCGACTTCCTCCGCCCTTACTGCCGGGTATTCAAAGCAACGTCGGCTGCTCGTTCCCGCTGATGGCTCGATCAACCCTTTCTCGTCGAGTTCACTCGCCTGCCAGGTATTATGGCTGTTGCATCACGGATCGCGTTGATTTCATTTGCGATCGTGTACCGTTCCTCTCGCGAAAAATTAGTATCCCGGGAGCTGCTCCGAGGAGAGGGTGGGTGTCGCGTAACATGAACGTACTGTGGTAGAACTGAATATATTGGAAACGTATAATTCTCTAACCCGGAGTGTTTGTACGGTGGTGATCAGAACATCGGTTCAAAGTTAATTTTATGTGAAATGTATCGTTTCGGGGTGTTAGATAAGAAATGTTTTTTTGTATAGTACCAGCAGCTTTATTTAACCCTTTCAGACCTGGTGTCCACAATTAAAGACACAAAATTTAAAAATTACTGATACTATCGTTTAGAGCGAAGGTCATTTGTTACCTTCCTCAGAAGACAATTCAATCCACAAACGTTGCATCAAAGATTGCAACTAAATCGGCTCAATATTGTAGTGTCCGCGCCTCCCATACCCAACAATAAGGAGTCAAATAACACGAAACGTGGGGTACGGGATTGGTCGCGTAGGTAAAGCGGTCGACTGTGGATTTGAGGATCGTGGGTTCGAATCCCCGTGCCTTATTTTTCGGTTAGACTCCTACAATATTCATAAAGTCCTGCAACAGCAGTGTGAGGTTTTCCCGACGAGGAGATCAATAGGCAGATCGATCTGTTATGTTCTGGAATGACCCGAGACAAAGTGCGAACCGTGACCCAGACAAGAGTGTAGAGTTCGTTGCACGTTGTTAATTTCGGCTGCGACCTTGTTTGTTCGATGCCCGAGCCTAGTGAAAATCGCAGTGAAACGTTCGTAATTGGTAGTATGGAAATCTTCGGCCAGACCGAACGTGTTTCGGTGATCGACGCGCAACGGGGCGAATAATTTAATGCGCGAGGAAAAATTAATTATAGAGAAACCAATCAGCAGCCGGAATTATCGACCGATCGCGCGGGCAATCTTCGTTTAAACGAAAAATAATCGATCGAACGGACCCGTTAATTGAAAATAGTAATTACTCGATAAACATCGACGCCCTGGGAAGAATCTCGTCGAGTTCTCGGCGAACGCGTTTACAGCGTCGGTTAACGGGCGCCCATTAAAACGGGCGACTTACTTCGTTGAACGCTCGCCGTTTCAATTCGCAAGACGGAAGCGTCTGTTGCATTCAACGACTCGAGATCACGTGCTTGCCGTTCCATGATACGTTGGACTTAGCGAAGAAAATTTGAGAAAAAAATAGAGGGAAATTACAAACACGTTCTTTTTCTGCCTTCATTATTTATTTACCTCGTCGAGGAGTACTGACTTTGTGAAACCTGTTGAGAAAATTGTTACAGGGCTTTTTGGTTTATTTTTATACGACGAATCTATTACGAAACGATCTCATAGTTTTGTTAACAACCTGTATATTATTCCTATTTCTGTTACACTTCTTTCAAACTCCATCCACGTATTCCACATTTATCCTGCACAGGGCTTTAGATGGCCATCGATATTGCCATAAATATCATTGACAGTCGAGAGAAATGTCTATATAGTATAGACGGAATCATTTAAACAGACTCCACCTTGGAGGCATTCTTCTTAGATAAATCAATAATACTTGTACACTGTCTTCTACGCACCTGTGGCACTATGGGCAGATATATTTCAAGCAAGTTTTCCTCAGAGGTATTCTTTTTCGCCCCATCTACAATTTCGCAAAGAATCGACTTCTTTTCTTGGAGTACACCGCTACCAGAACGATAATAACCTTTTCAATTGACCAGTGTTCGTCGTGGACACAAATATATCAATCGATCGTATAAAAGGACCTTTTCGACCGATACATCCCTGACCTCGTAGATACGTTCGATTGACCCAAGGATACTTTTATTGGGGAATATCCTGCGATGTCTTAGACGTCGCCCGTTGCGGATATATCTTCGACATCTGGGCCAATATAACCCCGCTAAAATAAACGACACAATGCTATCGCGTAACTTGAGTTCCCTGCGAGGGTTTCAGCGAACTTATTATCGTGCCGCATTTGTTCAGAGTCGGAGAACGTTTCGCTGCATACTAATATCGTATCCAGTTTATCACGGAACGCGGACGATCGATGGCGCGCTATTAAATAATCTCCGGTCGTCGCGGTTGAATTTCAAGTTGCTGCAAAGTAACCCGTCGAGGAATTTAACGATTTATAATTCAATAGAAGCTCCTCGTTAGTTTGTTCTTTTTATTACTTCATATGGTGTGTACTGTTAATGATTCGGTCGATTTATGATGGCTGAAGTGTGCATTTAAAACATATGCAGAACGTTTAAATAAATACAATAGAATATGTTGTCTGTTGATGACTTATTTCAGGAAATATCGTGCACGAATTTTTGGAAACAGTCTCAATGCGACAAATTGAGAAGCAAAATTGGACGAGGTATACATAGAAAACAGGGACGTCAACAAAAAATACGAGTAAGAAAGTTATGGTACACGTAAAGGGAATTGAAAAAGACCAAAAATTTAAGATAAACAAAGCTCTCGTGTTGTACTTGTGTACACAACAGTCACAACGTAAGAACCTTAGTCCTCTCGAATTTTCCTTCGTTACATAATGTGTACATATTGTGCACACACATCCATGGCGTAAGAGCCTTGATCCTCTTGAATCTTTCTCTTTTTTCTTCATTTATCCTTACTATAACTTCCCTACTTTTGTTTCTTATTGACTTTCCTGTTTTGCAACACAAATACCCCTCCTGTGTCTCTCTTACAGTCCCTTTGCGCACATCATCGTATCTACATTGTTTCCTGAAATATTCGAGTATCAAACTTTCAGAAAATATCAGCAAAACCGGAGTTGTTTGCGGTGAATTTTCTTCGAGTTTAATAAGTAAGGAAGTGATACCGTTCATCTGAAAAATTAAGTAAACATTGGAATTCAAGAGTGAACAGAGCTCGTCAAGGTTTAGCTACACATTTTCGAACGCGCGCGTCCGCGAATGCCAGAAACAGAGGTATCGCGATCCGCCGCGTCGTGGACCAAGTTGAAAACACAAATCGAAATAGCGAAGTGTGCTGCTTGATGAAATCCCAGAAGTGCAAAGAGGTG